TCTCCTACAGCGACAGTCACTGCCCCCTGTGACCACTCACAACATGATCGATGACTCCACGGATCCCATCCTCAGCACCATTAGACGGATTGGGCTTTTCAACAACCGCGCAGACAGAGTCAAGGTAGAACTAATTGGTTATGGAGGGCACTTCAAAACTACATAGAATATACTTTTTGAGAATTTATTAGAAGGCTCCCTTAGTTGTTTTGATGCCTACCAGAAATACTTTAAGTATTTCTAAAAAGAATTAATGCAGATTCTTGTCTTGGGTAATTAGCATGAAATGAATATTTTTATACCGTTTTTGAAAATTGAAGCATATTCATAGCTTTAAGTTATAATTCTAGCATTCAATTTCATTGTACAATACTGTCCAATAAGCATAAGGAAATGACTTAATTTTTAATAATACCGATATATTCTAAGAATTACCTAGAATGAAGGAATCACTGATATTAACATGAATTGTGTTTGTTTCTTCCCGATAAAGTTCAATTTAAGGGGATAATATGGGAAGCTTCTGGTTTCAGAGAATGTGACTAATGATGCTTGTATGTAATTTTCTTTTGACTGGAGTTTCTGTGATGACTAGGCACAAGGTAGTTGCTGAGGGCATTTATATGACTAAGCCTGGTTTTTGCCACCGTGGAGCTTAATCTCCCAGATGTCTACTGAGGGCATGCGACGTTTCAGCAAAGGTTCCAGGTGTGGGTGACAGTGTGAATGTGTAAACAGTTGCTTATCTCTACTCAATTCCATTCACCCATGTTCCAGATCAGTTGCCACGAACTTTTACCAATCTTTTCAAGGCCCCCCACTTTTCCTCCTTTCTTTCACCTTTAGCAGATGACCTAATTGAGAATTTAGTGGGTTATGAACTGTCCCTCCTCAGTGTCCCTCCATGCTCATCTCAAATACAGATTTTGACCTATTCTTCTTTTCCTTCAGATTCTTAGGACTATTCTAGAATCTCAATCCCTCCTACATTTGGGGTAAACTTTCCCTATCCATTTTCCCTCTCTTCTCTTACAGATTTCTTTCTTAACACTAGTTCCTTCCCTTGCTATCTACAAATATTCCTTAAGTTTCTCCACTTTGGAAAACAAACAAAAAACTTTGCCTTAACCCTGGATGTTTTTTAAATGTTTTTCCTTTTCTATTTTCCTCTGCAAAACTTCTTAGAAGAAAAATAGTCTATTCTTAAATTCATTTCTCGTGTTTCATTCGCTCCTTGATATGGGCATGAGTGGATGTAGTAGAGGGAGACAAATTAAGAACCTACTGCAACAGTACAGGTGAGATATGATGGCCTTACAAAGGCCAGAAGTGCTGGAGGGGACAGAACAGTGGGAGAGACAGTTGCATGTAGAAAAGTTCATACTTGGTGATCAATGGACGTTGGGAGTGAGAAAGCAGGAGAAGTCAAGAATAACAGCCTCCTGATTTCAGTGTTTAACCAATGCTTTCTAAAAACTGAGGAAAGTCTTTAGCAGAAGTTGAGTTGAGGGTCACACCATGAATTCAGTTTTTGATGGTCTGAGTTCGAGTTACCTGTGAGATATACAGCTTGAGATGTTCAATAGGCACTTAGAAAGCATGGGTCTGGGGCTTACAAGGCAACCGTGAAAAGAGGTGTTGGTGAACGGGCAGTAGCGGAGCCCAGAGAACGATGACCCTGACACTCTCAAAAACCAGGTTGAATGAGTGGAGAAAACTGGCGACCCAAGGAAACCTCAAGATATAAGAGGAGTTTAGAGGAAGAAAAGTCAAAGTCAGGTAGAGAAAGAAGGAGCAAAGAATAAGAAGAGAAAAATATCTCAGAGATCAAGGTAGGATAAATATTCATAATAGTAGGAAGAACTCATGGTACAGCATT